GCCCAGGCTGGAGTGGGGTGGCGTTAGCTCAGCTCACTGTAACCTCTGCCTCCTGGGTTCAAGCAATTCTCCTGCCTCAGCCTCCCGAGTAGCTGGGATTACAGGTATGTACCACCACACCCGGCTAACTTTGCATATTTTTAGTAGAGACGGTGTTTCTCCACGTTGATCAGGCTGGTTTCGAACTCCCAACCTCTGGTAATATGCCCGCCTTAGCCTCCCAAAGTGCTGGGATTATAGGCGTGAGCCATCGTGCCCAGCCAAAAAATGAGATGTTTTGCTTAATAAATTATTCTGCTTTAACTGACAATCACTACATAGGCAATCTGCAAAGCAGCAACACAAAAAGCAACTCCAAAATTATCTGTAGTACAACTCCTCCTTCTAGTGAAATCAGAAGTTCACATTCTTGGCTGGGCATGGTGGCTCACACCTGTAATCCCAGCACTTTGGGAGGCCGAGGCAGGCAAATCACCTGAGGTTGGGAGTTCAAGGCTGCCTGACCAACGTGGAGAAACCCTATTTCTACTAAAAATAAAAATTTAGCCAGGTGTGGTGGCACATGCCTGTAATCCTGGCTACTTGGGAGGCTGAGGCAGGAGAATCGCTTGAACCTGTGAGACGGGTTGCAGTGAGATGATGAGATTATGCCATTGCACTCGAGCCTGGGCAACAAGAGGGAAACTCCATCTCAAAAAAAAAAAAAATTCACCATTCTTGAAGTACTCCTGATGTACCATTACATACATACATAGTTGGATGGCCCTTACTATACACTAGTGATGTCGCCAGGTGCAATGGCTCACGCTGGTAATCTCAACACTTTGGGAGGCCAAGTCAGGTGGATCACCTGAGGTCAGGAGTTCAAGACCAGCCTGGGCAACATGGTGAAACCTGTCTCTACTAAAAATAAATACAAAACTTAGCTGGGCATGGTGGTGCACACCTGTAGTCCCAGCTACTTGGGAGGCTAAGGCAGGAGAATCGTGTGAACCTGAGAGGTAGAGGTTACAGTGAGCCAAGATCATGCCACTGCACTCCAGCCTGGGCAACACAGTAAGACTCCATCTCAATAATAATAATAATAATAATAATAAAACAACTAGTGATGTCCTACCTGGGGTGGAGGCTAAAAAGTCTTAACACATGATTCTTAAATTATTTTAAATAGTTCAAAACATCTAGTAAAAACTGCACATTTACTCTTAGTAAAGCTGCTGAGACTAAGAAATAAATGCCTTTATTTTATACTGGAATTGTATTAATTCACCATAGCCATGGGAGTCCGAATTACTTCATGTAATACAGCGTGTATTACAGTTTGTATTCATGGAATAAATACAGTTTGTTTGGTAGACAACATCTATTAAAATAAGGTCTGTTGATGAAAAATATTTTGTAATGGGCTTGTCCTCAGTTGTAAAAAGGTTGAGAATCCACTGTTCAAAACAAATTCTCAAGAGTTCCCAACATACTTGAGTTTCCAATCAAACCCAGAGCCATGGAGAAACAAGCAAACAACAGAACAGAACAGAAAGGAAAGCAGTATTCACAAGTTACATCTTAGACCTGTGGCTTCAGTTCTCACAAGGCCTGTTTTCCCCTTGCTATTAATTACTGACATGCCTCTTTCTTTGGCTAGAAATAATAATACACAGGAACCAATGAATGCCAGAGTTCAGAGATTTGCAAATTGTGCCCATTATGTCACCAAAGACTAGAATATACCTGAGAGCAGATAAAATAACAAACTGATTCTGGCAGCTACGAGTAAGGCTATAGCCAAGGTTTACAGCAATAATAGCACAGCTACTACTATTTATTATTATTATTTGAGACAAAGTTTTGCTGTGTCACCCAGGCTAGAGTGCAGTGGCATGATCTCGGCTCACTGCAACCTCTGCCTCCTGGATTCAAGCGATTCTCCTGCCTCAGCCTCCTGAGTAGCTGGGACTACAGGTGTGCACCACCACGCTTCGCTAATTTTTTAGTAGAGATAGGGTTTCACCATGTTGCCCAGGCTGGTCTTGAACTCCTAACCTCAGGTGATCTGCCTGCCTCGGCCTCCCAAAGTGCTTGGAACACAGGTGTGAGCCACCGCCCCCAGCCAGCTACTACTATTGAGAGCCGAACATGTGCCAGCTGCTGGCCAACTACTTTATCTTCATAACAAGTAAATAGTTAAGAAAGAGTCTTCACTCACCTGAGTAAATGTGATAGGTTTGTCCCTAGAAATATAATCTGCATATTTACAAGTAAACATTCCACAATCACTCCCATTCAACTGTTGAGGAATCTCCTAAAATTACAAAGAAAAAAGAGGAGAGGGCAAAAACATCATTAAATACAAACTCCTTGAACATTTTGTAAATGTTGCTGTGGATAAACAATATTATAAAGGTAAATATTAAATCAAGTATTACCTAAACACAGTCATATACAAAAACACAATTATTCTTACTCTCTGTGGTATAAAAATGCTAACTATGAGATGGCGTGCATGACCCTATAGGAAATGTTTTTCAGAAGAGAAAAAAGAGTTCCATTCTCAGCTCCCACTCAAAGAAACCAAGTTGAAAGGAGGTTTACTACCACCAGGGATTCTAGTCAGAATTATTTCAGAAGCATTTATCAATTTTTAAAAAGGGCCAAGTGTGGTCAATCAGAAATATACCTTCCCTTCTCTAGCTAAAAAAATGAGACTACTGCTTTGGACCCCGACAAGCTTCAGGTGGACAGAGAGAGGTTCCTGGATAGGCTTTAACCAATTAGGGTCCTGCCTTCATGGATCAGTTCTGTCCGAAGGCGGAAACAAGCCTTGCTGCAAGCAGCACTAAGAGCATAATAGGCCAAAGGTGGTGGATTCGCAACACTAAGCTCACACCTGCTCCAGGCCTGCGTTGCCCTAATCTTGGCAGTCCCTAGCACCCACTGGCCGTCAGCCACAAGCAACACAAGTTAGTAAGCGTATGAGAGAGGCCACTTCCACTACTGGAAAACACACTAGATGATAATAGCTCAATTTTTATTCAGAGAAATGAAGTTGATTATGATTTTAAAAGTTTAACACATACCACCCATACATATGCAGATACCTCACACTTTTCTCTCGAGCCCAGCATCTCTCACAGAATGGACAAAACTACAATATACAAAGAAAGAGAATTTGTTTTCTTTATTCCATTTCCCATATCAGAACATAGTATTCATCCTAACAGACTCTTCTTATATCTGTGCTCTCCTTAGGAAATTTCAAAGCTTATCCTTCAAACTTTTTTCTTTTTTGAGACAGCCTCACTCTGTCACCCAGGCTGTAATGCAGTGGCATGATCTCTGCTCACTGTAACCTCTGCCTCTCAAGTTTAAGTGATTCTCCTGCTTCGGCCTCCCGAGTAGCTGGGACTGCAGGCGCCTGCCACCACACTGGTCCTGGCTGAGAGTTTTCCGTTTAGAAATTAAAATATGTCCAGGCACGGTAGCTCATGCCTGTAATCCCAGCACTTTGAGAGGCTGAGGCATGTGAATCATGAGGTCAGGAGTTGGAGACCAGCCTGATCAACATGGTGAAACTGCCTCTCTACTAAAAATACAAAAATTAGCCAGGCATGGTGGCACATGCCTGTAATCCCAGCTACTCAGGAGGCTGAGGCAGGAGAATTGCTTGAACCCTGGAGGCGGCGGTTGCAGTGAGCCAAGATTGCGCCACTGCACTCCAGCGTGGGCGACAGAACAAGACTACATCTCAAAAAAACAAAACAAAACAAAACAAAACCTTTTTTCTAAGACCTAAATAAACAAATTCCCAGATAAATTTTGGAAAAAAGCTTCAAACTTTCATTAGCACCAACTGGGAAATTAGTCAACTTGAATTTATTACTACTTTTTCCCAATTCTGTGAGAGAGATGCAAGCTTATGGTTAACATTTACATTTGCAGCAAGAAGATGAAAGCTAAGCAACCCTTTTTAGTTAAATTAATTGCTAAAGATTTAGAAGCAGATCATTCTCAAAATGTATACTTTGGCCAGGCATGGTGGCTGACACCTGTAATCCCATCACTTTGTTTTGGGAGGCCAGGAGTTTGAGACCAGCCTGGACAACAAAGCAAGATCCCATCTCTACAAAAAAGAAAGAAAGAAAAGATGTGTACTTTAAAAGAATGCAGGGAGGGAGGAAGGGCAGGAAGGGAGCCAAAATTGAATAATATACTATTAGTAAACGCAACAAAGTATGTCAAATATAGAAGACTGTCACTCACATGTGGTTTCATGCTGTAATGGGTCCACTCTAAAAGATTCAGATCAATATTTCTTTTGGTCTTACTTTCATCCTGTAAATACTGACTAAAAAGCAAAAGAAAGAAGGAATACATCAATGAATCCCTACAGAAATGAACCATTATGGTTACAAAGGGCTTTGTGATGTTAAACAGATGTGTCATTCTCAAATCCATATTCATTAGCCTTTTAAAAACATGACTCTTCTTGGAATTTTTAATTTAATTTGGGAGGTCTGCTTACAAAAATCGTACATGCTTGTTTTTAAAAGTTGAAATATGTATCAGGTTGATAATCATTAGATGCCCCATACCCAAAATTAAGCTTAAAAAATAACACAAAAAGCCAAAGACCCCTGTAATAATCATTACAAAAGTAATTACTATTAAAAGTTTGCTATGTATTCTTCTAGTTCTCTACCCCACCCTCACACATACAATTTTAAAACATTTTCAACATGCTCTTTCTCACTTAAAGATAGATAGATACAACAAGAAACATAGCTATAAAACAAGAAAACTGGCCTGGACTCAATAAATAAAGCTATTGCCATGAAAAAGAGAAAAAGGGAAGAAGATTTTTCTAAATTAAAGGAGACTAAAGAGACACTAAGAACACACATGGGCCGGGCGCGGTGGCTCAAGCCTGTAATCCCAGCACTTTGGGAGGCCAAGGCGGGTGGATCACGAGGTCAAGAGATCGAGACCATCCTGGTCAACATGGTGAAACCCCGTCTCTACTA